CTGTGCGCTGTGGCCTCTGGGTCCTCTGATAGTGCTGGGGCTGCAGGCCACACCTCCCCAATGTTGGTTGCAATGTCCTGACGTAAGTCCAGCACTCTGAGTTTGCATCTTCTATGGCGAACATTCGGGGTGAGCAGGAGATCCAGCCCATCCAATGCTATCTTTAGGATGTCGTGGTGGGGGTGCAAAGTGTCCAAGAAATACCCCAGGTGAAGCCAGGGAAAGGGCCAGGCCCTCATCATAGCCTTCACTGTATGGCTGTGTCTCCCAGCCATGGCCTCTGAGAACAAGGGGCCGAAGAGTTCCTTGGGCAAGAATTTCACAGCTGCCACTGCCAAGGTCTCATCCCACTGCAGGCCTCGGATTGCAAGGTTCAAGAGCACGGGTGGGCTGAAGCGGTTCATTCTGATGCAACTGGCCCAAAGGGATTCTGATGTGTTCTTGGCCGCATCAGTCATCTCAAACCCTTGGAAAAAACAAAGATGAATAGTTATACCAGCGGTCCAAAGTCTAGTTCCTCCTTGTCGTTGTCAGGTGCCATCGTGTCAGACCCGACTCATAGCGACCCCATGCACAGCAGAATGAAACAATGTCCGATCCTGGGCTAACCTCACTACCGCTGCCACACTTGAGTCTATCAATGATGCCACCTGGTCGATCCATCTCATTAGGGGTCTTCCTCTTTTTCTCTTACCCTCCACCTTACCCAGCATGACATCCTTCTCCAGAGACAGTGTCCTCCAGACACTATATCCAAAAGTTCCTCCTTAGCTCCTCAGAAACCATAAGAGTCCTTTCTGATCACAGTTATCCCCCCTTTTAACAAAATGCCCAAGTTCAGATGTCAGGATGGAGGCTCTGCCTGACTCACTTACCTGTAGGTGATGATGAATCCAAGAGGCAGGTTAGAAGGCAGGGATGAATGTGTCCAACTGTGGCAGGCAAGGTGGCAGAATGCAGATGGCTCTCAGGCTAGGCAGGCAATATGGCAGGATCTAGACCCAGTCAAAAGTGAGAGAGAGCTTTAGCAGTAAGTCTATTTATACTGGCTGCTGGCCACACCCCTGAAAATATCCTTTCCATCTGATTGGATTTTCAAAGTCAATCTCATCTTGAAGGTGATTGGATTTTACTTGATCTCACCATGGGGGATGATGTCATAACTGAGAATCCGGGTCCAGTTGCAGAATTCTGAACCATCTCAGTCATTAACCACTGTACCATCTACACAGGTGTTTCAGAAAACTTAGCATATTGAGAAAAGAATTAATTCAAAACAGGAACTTAGTTGGAGAGACAGTTTCTTTTCTCTGAATTTCATATATAAAAACATGTTTTATATGGATTTTTATTTCTGAAGTGTATTCCCTATAAAACAATAATCATTTATACGTATAAGTATGTATTCATATA